GAGACTCTGTAGAGACTGCAGATTAACTTTGAGAAGATTTAGGTGACATGCTTAAAATCATTGAGTGGGTTAGAAAAAGAGGAAAGGAGAGTCCGGTTCCCTGATATCCAGACCTCAGTTATTGTTACCACACAACCAAGTTATCATTAAACACAGAGTCCAAATAATCTGCAATTTTCATTTTGAATTTCTTTAACTCTAGACACTTTTTATAGGAATGCCTTTGCATTCAGTGTTTATATCCTTTATTCTATCATTTTGTTATTAATATTAAATTTTATCATCCAGTGGTATAAAGGAAAAATTACCTAAGTAAATTGTACAAATCAAAATGTATTGTTGTGTATTACCCAAAATATATATTAATGACTACACATCCAGGCATATGACTGTTAAAATTAGCCATGTTAAACATGTTACTCAGATTCTCCACATTCTTACTTTCTAAACTTGTCTGATTTGTATAGTTTATTGGCCCCATGATGTCCATTTCTATTTCTTCCCATGAGCTGGGTGTTTTCCCCTGGCGCAGTCCCCTCATTTCCATTCAGCTTCAAGTGTTTTGGATAAGACTGACTCCAACTCTATTGCCACAGGGAGATCATGGGTCCGGTAAAGCTCAGGCCCGTGAGAGACTGGACCCTGGGATCATATATGAATATAGCAGCTTCCACAAGAGATCTGTGTCTGATGCTGGATGTCTGTGAAAACAAATCTGAGACCTATAGGGTTGTGGTTATTTTTGGAGGACCTGGAGCTGGGTGAGAGGACCATCATTTGGAACCTGAAGATGCAACATTAATCATGATGAAAGATTATATAGAAAAACAGAGAGAAGCATTCTGTTACCCAGTCCTGCTACTTGCTTTATNTGATGAAAGATTATATAGAAAAACAGAGAGAAGCATTCTGTTACCCAGTCCTGCTGCTTGCTTTATTTATTTTTTTAAATTTTCACTATCATGATTCTCATCTCAAAGTTTTAATTACTTTTTTCAGAGTAAACTGTTTTTATTGTATGGATGTGATAGCTTATTTATGGAGCCTTAATAATAGTTTTTTGTTTGTTTGTTTGTTTGTTTTTTTGAGGACAAGCATTGTGGCCAAAACCTGAGATTGGGAAGACAGGGACAAATATTCCACAACCTTTAAATTAATTGTGATGCCTACTGGTAGACAGCTTACTGCTATTCCAATACCCAGTCCTGATCTTGGGGTTATTCTTTGATTCTGTTGGGAAGATTTACTTTTGGGGAGAGATCCTCTCTTTCTCTTCAACTAAGTTGGATTTCATGTTTGTCCTCTTCTCAACTGTTGTCCACTTTTTAGAAATTTCTTAATTTCAGATCTGTTGGCAGCATTTCTATGATACTACACATTCATTTTTATTTGTATATTTCTTCTTCCAAGTTAATGGGCTTTATCAAAAGAAGCAAGGTAAAGTTTTTTGTTTAGCCATTTTAGAAAGAGAAACCTTCCAGACAATCTATTTACTACTATTGTCGCTAATCATTTGGATTCTATTTAATATCCTTTATAACTAGAAAAGAGTGATCTTAAATACTGATTTCTTAATCTATAAGATAATTTTAAAGATATATTGAACAATTTCCTAACAGTTTTCCAGCTCATTGCTAAACTGGGCCTGAATCTCTTGATGCTGCTGCTGCTGCTGCTGAGTCTCTTCAGTGGTGTCCGACTCTGTGCAACCCCATAGACGGCAGCCCACCAGGCTCCCAGGTCCCTGGGATTCTCCAGGCAAGAACACTGGAGTGGGCTGCCATTTCCTTCTCCAATGCATGAAAGTGAAAAGTGAAGTCGTTCAGTCGTTCAGTTGTGTCCGACTCTTCATGACCCCATGGACTACAGCCCACCAGGCTCCTCTGTCCATGGGATTTTCCAGGCGAGAGTACTGGAGTGGGGTGGCATCGTCTTCTCTGAAATCTCTTGATAGGTCTTTTGCCATTCAGTGACTTACAAGTAATATTTACTATACATATTTTTCCTTAGGTTCAATCTACAGGTCAGTAAGGAAACCAGATATTTATTTTCAGGCTAGCATGGTTGTCAATCTTCTTTCCCCCAAAGACTTCCAGAATTTATAACTGGGAAGGATAAGGATCTAGGAAAGGATAGGTATCCAAACTGACAATTGTTGGCTCACCTTCTGCATCCCTCCAAATTGCAACAAAACATAGATAGTGTATTGTGACTGTGATTACGAATTGGAAATGATATATGAAATTCTTCATTTCTCACTCATTGACCATCACCTTCTCTCAACTCTTAACTGGGGGACACGTTCACTCTCTTCTTATCATAAAAAGCTTGGACATCTCCATCTAAGAAATTACACTGGACAATATTTCATGTAGAAATCAGTCCCTCTCAAGGCTTGTCAATTTCAATTTCCTTTTTTAATTAGGCTTTCTATCTCTAAGGATAAAAAGAAAGTAAATATTGCCTTACTGAAACAGGTAGAAGCTTGCATGTATAGTCAGATGATTAAGTTCCTGCATGACTAATAAATGTAATGTGGAAGATCTAATGCTGTTTTGGTTATGTTAGAACATTCCAGTTTATGAGGAGGAATAAAGCAGAATAAACTGACGTTATATACCTACTGAATTCCAGGAATATCACTTAATAATAGGGACCAAGAGATAAATGAAATCTAGGTGCAGTAATGCACTCAAAATTATATTTTTTCTAACAGAGGCACTGCTTTTACGAGATGACCACTACTATAACCCTAAAGTTACATACCCTGGAATGGCATCCTATCTATTTGTGTTAATTTAATCACTGGAAAGAAGGGTAATTGCAGGTAGGGTTGTAATGGCATAATATCCCATTTTAGAGTTTATTTTGCAAAAGAAAATTCGCTGTCATAATAAAGTGCCTCAAAACAAACAAATGAAGAATAACAACAACCAGTGGCATGAGAACTTGAGGGCTTGGTGTGGTGTGAAGAAGGAGGAATATAATTGAAATGATTCTTCTCTACTAAGAGAAGGTAATTTTCCAGAACAGTGCCATATATGATGATAATTTTAAAAGGAAAAAATATTAAAATTTGGTGGTTGTGGCTAGTTAGCTTAATTGCCTAAATTAAGGACAAGGACACAGTTGATTCTGAGGCAGATTTGTTACTTTGTTGATGGTTTATGATCACAAACTCTCACCATGCTCTGAATCAGTGCTCTCAGAAATGTGAGCCCATAATCACAAAGTGGTCCACAGAACTTAACAACACAAACAACTAAAAGTGTGAAGGTTTGAGGGTATTAAAACACTGCAATATTTTGTTTTACCTAGGTCAATACATTAAATTCAGTTAGCTACATGGGGAAAGTTTCTGTATATACCCCCATGTACATTATTGTGATGTCAGTATTTTAGAGAAAATGAAACAATGGTGTGTGTTTAAGAAATTACTGAACTGGATAGAAGTGGAGGTGACTGGCCACAGCGATTTGCTTTTTAACAGATTTTGCTGCTTTCATTTATTTAGCAGTTAACTATGTATCAACTAGTCCAGACCCCAAATTTATTAACTCTGTTCTTCTGAGAGAATTCACAATTTACCAGTGAAGAAAACATTGATGACAAAATATAAGGAAGAAAAAAGATTTAAATTGATACCATGACAGCCATTAGTGTCTAATAGAGATTGACAGAATTAAGTAGCTTTCTCTGTTAGCCAAGTTCTCATTTATGACTCGTCAAGTCACTTGACACTTCTGCTGTAGATGAGGGAGTAAATAGAGACCCAAGGAAAAAATGATGAGATCCAAAGAAAAGTGACACTTTTTATGACAGAAAGTACTGAGCTAGGGAATATAATAATCACTTGGAAAAGATATGGAGACCTTTCAGCCACTGACAAAGCCAGTCTAATTATTAATGCACAGAAAGAAGCTACTTTTTCCTGTTGTGTTATCCATCAGGTTATTTTATTCATCAATGTGTGTTTTAAATGTATTTTTAACTTTTCAATTAAATATAATACATTTGAAATAACACAGTCCCTCCCCACTCAATTAATTTTTCTTTCAGTTTTGTTCATATGTTAGTGTTTTAACAATTTCAATCATGTTTATAAAAATTTTTTTCTTTCTTGAATTATTTCAATTATTTCCCATATTTTTTCAGTTTATATTTTCAAAATGAATATCTTTAATGGTTGCACAGTGTTGATCTGCTTAATGAGTAAAAGTTGCAGCCATCTCCTTCCTATTGAACACTAAGTTGTTTTTAGATCCTCACATAATGCTAGAGTAGGCACCTTTAAGTACTTCTGTTTTTCTTGAATTATTTCCTTATGATATATTTCTAGAAGTTTATTATGTTTGTAAGCAATTCTACCATTCAAGCTGATAACAAAATTTTCCTACCATTTGTTAAAAGTAATGCCTATTAACACACTCTAAGATGCTGTATTAAGTAGAGTTTAGTCCCCTGAATTAAAATTACTTCAAATACACATAATAAGAATGATTTCATTCTAAGAGTATTGGTGGTACTGTGGGAAATACAAGTGTTATTCATGTATAAAGTTTATTCCCAAGAATCTCACCACCTAAATTAATTTAAAAAAATTGAAAATAAATAAACATAAAACACATGAATATGTAATGAGTCATAGAGTTATTAAATAAAGGACCATAAAAATTTAGATAAGAGAGGTTACATTTTCAACTACCAAAAGTCAGGGTTATATTTCTGAACAGGCACCATTTGAAGTGGAGTTTGCAAAGTGAATTTAGCAATATAAACATAAAATCTGTTAAGTTCACCATAGATGGAGTGAGAACTAACTCTGTGTTATAGGATGTGCAGGAGGACTTTTCACGTTGTCCCAGAAGTGTAGTAAAGACTCAAAGTGAGAGCAAGAACCTCATATTCTGAAGAAGTTCACCAACCAAACACTTCCTGCAGAGCTTTGTAGAACCATCCGTAAACCTTCATCTCATACCACTATCTTTCTTCCTTTTCAGGCCACATACATGCAGAATAAAGGAGGGAGTTGGCTGGGAATGAGAGATAGGCTACCTTCACAGTATGCAAAGGGGTGGCTTCCAGGTGAGTCACTCTGACAAGGTGGGGGCATGTGTAAGAAAGGATGGCTTCTTGTCTCCTTTTAAATATATGCTTAGAAGAGGTCCAGATCTGCTCCTCTGACTGAACAATATAACTTTTACTAAGATAAAATTGTCACGTAATGTTGTGTAAATGTAACACAATGTTGGTTTGATACAATTATATATTCTAATATGATAACTATTATAAAATTAGCTAAAACCTATATTATGTCACATACTTATTATTTCTGTTTTGCGGTGAGAAAAAAGATCTAGTTTCTTAGCAATTTTTACATTTATCCTTTTTATTAAATAGTAATTTTATTTATTTTTGATTATAATCACCATGCTGTGGATTAGATTTCCAGGACTTGTTTATCTACTAGCTGGACATTTGACCCTTAAACAGCATTTCCTCAATCTATGTAATCTAGAAGAGAACTAAAAAGAGATGGTAGGGTGCAGAGAAGAAGTGAGAAATAGTTTGCTGTCCATGTTTGGCTGTATGAATTTCCCCTTCATCAAGAAGCTACAAGAGTAGATAGCTAACCCAAGAAGGTTGTTTATCAGGCCGGAACATCCAGGCAGTAAGAGCCTGTGGTATCAACCATGAATGACAAGAACCAAGTCAGGGGTGGGGTGAAAGAGGTTCAGCCAAAGAAGGATTTTCTGTGACAGTGAACCGTTAAGTAGCAGGACCCAACATGTGCCTAATAAGAGAACATTTTGATACCATTCACCCAGAAGACACTACTGATCAGTGAGTGTTAGCCAGAGAAACAGGAACAACTTACACACAGAATGCTGTGGCCTCATTCAGTTGAGAAACGGATTTTTGTCCTTCTTTCCATCCTCCCACACCACCCCCCTCCCCCAAGTACTAAAGAAGCTAGAAGGCAGAGGAAGGGAGGTGTATTAAGAATAGCTACACTTAACTCTCCACTCTAATACCCTTCAATCAAATGTCTAAACCATAGTTGGGGGACGAACAGCGCTTTGAATTATATGTGAGATTTGATTTTTAAGCTGGACTGAACTCTTTACAAAATAAAAGGTACAGAAATCTTTGGGTTCTGTTCATATGTCTAGAGAAAGAAAACAGTAATCTGATATAATAGCATTTTGTTTTGTTTGTTTGTTTGTTTGTTAGCAACTACACTAAGGACTTCCCTCGTAGCTCAGCTGGTAAGGAATCTGCCTACAGTGCAGGAGACACGGGTTGATTCCTAGGTTGGGAATCTCCCTGGAGAAGGAATTGGCAACCCACTCCAGTATTCTTGACTGGAGAATCCCATGGACAGAAGAGCCTGGTAGGCTACTGTCCATGGGGTCACAAGAGTTGGACACAACTTCGCACTAAACCACCACCACCATGCTTTCTAAAGTCGATGTTGATTTCCCAACAAGCATGATCCTTTGATTTACTCTTTGTGAAAAGAAATATAGAATATGTCACATCTCTAGGGATAAAAATGAAGTTAAAGAGAATGAATAAAATGAACTTCAAACCACATGATGCTGATAATGAAAAAGAAGATGATGATAATAGTGATGGCAATAGCTAACTCTATTGATTATCTATTAAATGTCAAGCACCATTCTAAAAGCTTTACATACATATATCTCTTTTAATCTTTAAAACGACCAGTGGTGGTGGTTTAGTCATTAACTTGTGTCTGATTCTTGCAACCTCACTGACTGTAGCCTGCCAGGCTCCTCTGTCCATGGGATTCTCCAGGTAAGAATAATGGAGTGGGTTGCCATTTCCTTCTACAGTGGATCTTCCCAACACAGGAAGTGAATCTGAATCTCCTATATTGCAGGAGCTACGAGGGAAGCTATGAGGGAAGCCCAAAATAACCAGAGAGGACAGATATTCTCATCAGTCCCATTTTATAGGCTAGAAAAGAGAGACACAAAGAGGTTACGGGACTTGCCCAAAGACACATATCAAAGAAGTGGCAGTGTTGAAACCAGGCATTCTGACCCCATAGCCCTTGCTTTCAATAAAGTTCACCTTATTTTTATTTTTACTACTTTGCATTGAAGGCTATACTTTTCCAAAAGATACACTTTAAATCCTATATCCTCCTCAAAGTCATTTTGTCAGTTTCCTATAACCAATTTCTCTGAATTTCCACGCCCCTTGATTTGCATAACACATTCTAGCATTAGGGATAATGCCATATACATTTTTGTATTCCCACTCCCTGCCTAGGCTTCCCTCTTCTTCCTGATACTACACTTGCCCCTGAATAGCATGTAACAGATCCTCCCAACCCAGGAATCGAACATTTCAGACGGATTCTTTACCATCTGAGCCACCAGGGAAGCCCTACAAAGAACATAGACAAGCTTAATTCATAGGTACTGACTGTCTTTTCTTGGTGGTGGTGGTGGTTTAGTCTCTAAGTCATGTCCGAACTGTATGACCCCATGGACTGTAGCCTGCCAGGTTCCTCTGTCCATGGGATTCTCCAGGCAAGAATATTTGAGCAGGTTGCCATTTCCTTCTCCAGGGGATCTTCCCGACCCAGGAATCGAACCTGGGTCTCCTGCATTGCAGGCAGATTCTTTACCAACTGAGCTATCAGGGAAGACCCATCATTTTGTAGGCTGCTGTAGCAAAAATCTGACAGAAAAAAAAAAATCCTTTAATCTTCAGTAAAAAATTAACTTTTCTCACTACCGATTCTCAGTTAACAAAATTTAAATTCCATTTAAATAGTGGGTAGTGCTCTCGTTCCAACATTTAATACTTTTGTAAGTCTATTTTTTGAACTAATTTTATGCCTAATAGTCATTCTGCTTGAGTACCAGTAACCCATGTCTCATGATATCCTGGCTCTGCTGAAAAGCGGCTGTCTCTAGAAGCAGTTGGCAAGTACCAAATTTATTCTGCCGCAAATTGTTTTTATAGCAGCCTGATGTTCTTCAATCTTTTCTTAAATTGAACATTGGTAAGATACAATGTAAACTGCCTTCTAGCTACATTGGATTTGCCATGCTAGCTCTCCAGACTTGGAATTAGATTGAGTATCATTTTACACAAAGGGTATTTTAAATAGCTCCAAGTATATGCTCCATACTGCACACATAGCATATTTCCTCATTATTTTAGCAATTCTTCATTTTACTCCTTTTTAAAAACCAGACAGCAATTTGATTATTCCCTTTGGTCAGGAGGTAACCACTCATATTTTCAATGAGCACTCACGACAGGTTTTCATAGAGTATGCTTCAAGTTGCTGCTATGACAGGGATACCTGTGAGCTCATTAGAGGGTAGTTAAATCACAGAATCCAAGTATGAATCTTTAAAAGATAACTGTAATTTATGGGTGTATTTTATCAAAATAAAAATATGCTGGAGGAGGAAAACTGTTCACAAAAACTTTTTCTCTGAAACGCTTTTTCAAGGCAGCAATTTCCTTAGCAGAGTTTCCCAATAATCATCAGTTCCTCTCCTTAAGCTCACAGTTCAGTCTATTCAATGTTGTACTATGGCAGTGATGATTAGCTCTTAATTCTCCTCTATTTATTATATGAAATGTAGCAGTGACCTTAATGAAAGGTCAGCTAAGACAAAAATGTTAGTGCCGTACTTTTAAAGATAGACTCAAGTGGAGAATTCCAAAGGTCAACATGATATTTTGAAGCGGGTCATTCAAACATATATGAAGTGTTAAAAGAATATAACTGGAATTTCTTACTAATTTGATATAGTCAAATTAAAACAATAGGATATGCACGAATGGCTAAATTTTAGAAAATATTGACAGTGGTCCGATTTTACTTTTACTTAACTCTTGTGAATCCTGTAAAGGTATAAACTTTACCCTTTCATGCAAATAGTTATATCCTATTGATAGTATAAGTTGGAAGGTAAGAAATATTGTCAATCATCTGATGTTAGTCCTAATACAAATAATGTGAACTGATTTTAAGCACTTTTTGAGAATCACATTGTCTTAGAAAATGTAGTAATTTTCTAAGCTGTTAGTTTGATTACTTGGACTGATGTAGCTGGATTGAATTAAATGGATACTTCTGAATTCTTTACATCATAGCAGCCTTAAGATGATGCAAGTCATAAATTTAATTGAATCATAAGTTTTGAGAGGCTGTTATGTTCAGGGTTCTTTGTTAGGTGTGGAAATAAATATTTAGAATATCCTATTCTTATCTTCAGGGAGTATACAATCCAGTAGGAGGAATAAGGAGGAATAAGAGACCAAAAAAAGAAAAAAGAACATCAACTTTAACCTCTGACTCAATAATGAGATTATTCTCAAACAATTGGCTCTCCCATCACTGACCACTGCCAGCTAAGTGCGGTAGCCACCGCACTGCAATCTATTCTGTAAGTTTGAAACATAATTAGAAAGTTCTTCATTGTACTGAACTAAAATCTGTTTCCTTGTGGTTTCTTTCCATTGATTTTTCTTCTGGTCTTTTGAATCAAGAACAATTTAATTTGTCTTTTGCAGGATAATCTTTTAAATATGTGAAGACCATTTGTCCCCATTTGGGTTCAATTTACTTCCACAAACGTCTGTATTTTCTTCCAACTAAACCCCACTACTTTCTTCTTTAAAAATTTTATGTAATGACATTTGAAGATACTTCTGCCCTTTCCCCCATCTTGTCCCATTTATCTTTTCATTGGGAGAAAAAGCCCATGTGATTTAAAGATGGAAACTTTCATACAATGACATGCTTTACACGAACCATGACTTGGAGGTTAGATTGCACTGAGCACAAAATGCCATAGGAAATCACAGTGCTAGAAGGCTCTATATTCTTTAAGGATTTTTCTGGTGAGTCAAATCTTCCAAAAGCTTAAAAAGTCTATCCTGTCAGTGCTCACAGTCTGGATATACGGGTGTTGCTGATGCTGAAAAAATGCCAAGCAGTGTTCTCTCTGCTGCAGACACACAAAGATTGCCCTTTCATTTTCATCTGCAGCTACCATCTAAGAATCTGTTTCGTTTCCTCACAGTCTGTTTGGCACCTTTAGTCAAAAAGTCACTCCGTCGGTGATACTCTGTGCCATATTGTTCTGTCTGCCAGGGATGCTTCCAGTTTGTTCCCAGCTCTGCCACGCCACGTGATGTTGGGCTGCAGTGTCTTGAGAAAGCTTCTCTGTTCCACCTGCTCTTCAGCTGCCATTGGACTCCCGCTGTGGTATGTTTATTCTGTAGCCCTCATGGGGCAGAGGTATATAACCACACTGGCAGTTGTTTTAGACTGATGGCTTCAGGAGCCTCTTGGAGATCCCAGATTGTCTCATTTTAGGCTAATTTTGTCTGGCTGGTGACATTAATAAGTTTCAGGGAAACTGCTATGGCATCAGGGGTACGTCAAAGACATAGCAGGCATCTTAAAGATCAGGTACAACCACTGCACAGATCCTCATTTGGGTCTCTCCCATGGGAAATGATTGGTAAATTCATTTTTTTCTTGCCAATTAGCACAGGTCTACAAATCCAGTACAGACTGCAGAATCCAGCGATAGTTTTTGACTCTCTGTTGTTCAACATAATCACAGGTCTGAGAAAATTATTTTTGTAGTTTCTTATTTTCCAGGTTTATCATAAATAACAGTACCCATAACAATGACAACAAATTCCCACTTAAAGTTATGGAATATGTTGTGCACAAGAATAGGACTTTTTTGACCAACCCATGCTTTTCTTATCCTTCTTGAAGGAATTTTCATGCATGCAACAAGTTATCCCTGTCTTTCAGGATCTTTTCAGAACAGTACATGATGGTGAGGACATAGGCTATAGAGGATCTCACAGATCTCCAGACCCACAGAGATCTGGATTCCTATCCCAGCTCTATTGCTATCTATTGCAGAGAATTACAACATCACATGTGAAACTAGGATAATACCACTGACTTCAGAGTTATGCCAAGGATTAATCACATGTAAAGTTGAGGCCGAGATGTATGCTCTCCTTGCTTTGCACTCCTAGATCAAATCATGTTGTACTTTATTAATGAGACTTTGTTCCGTGCTCCATTGAAGTCATTTGTGTATTTGCTTAGCATCCTGGAGGTAGGAACTCTCTTTGTTTCACCCTTAAATACTCAGCCATGAATGGTACAATATTTTTAGTAAATTCTCCCATGTTGAAACTAAGGCTTTGCCTAAGCTGTGAGGCTTCCATGAATGGTTTACCTCCCAGAGACAGAACTGGGCTAAGAACAAATAACTAAAAATATTAAAGTAGAAACAGAATTATTTAATTGTCATTTCCCCTCTCCAACATCTCTGTTCCTCTTCTCTTGAAAAGCAACAAAAATTTGAATCTAGAATAGGTACTGGTAAATGTTTGCCTTGTTGTTTTTCCAAAGGTGTGGCACATAGAACTAGCTCTGCCAGATGAGAAATTTGAATTAGTGAAAAAAAAAGTTTACATTATCAAATAAGTTTGAAAAATTTGGTTCAAGCAAGATAGAAAAGGTGTTTTGGTTATAGGACTACATGGCATTTCCAATATGCTATACAGTATTTATAAACACAATTAATGAGGAAGAGAAAAAAATGAGTTTTCAAAATAGAGCTAACCCTGGATATTTTTTAGAACTTTTCATTATATAGCTAACTGCTAGAACCACTTTTAGGGGCATCATTATTAAGTAGCTGACTTATTTGGGTATTTTACAATAAAAAGCTTTCTTCTCTTTTTATAGATATGGCTATCTCTTTATAGAGTAGGCCTGTTTTCTTACAACTTGGAAACCAGATGAAACAGCAGTCTGGGGCATCACTTTTAGGGGCATCATTATTAAGTAGCTGACTTATTTGGGTATTTTACAATAAAAAGCTTTCTTCTCTTTTTATAGATATGGCTATCTCTTTATAGAGTAGGCCTGTTTTCTTACAACTTGGAAACCAGATGAAACAGCAGTCTAGATTCTCTGAAGCTCAGATCTTGATGCAGTATTCTTATAGTTTCTCTCTAGGGGTCCTATGAGCTATCAGAAAGGATATTTATTCATGAAAGGGAGTGAGACATCAGGGGCTGTTAATTATTTGGGGGTCATCTCTCTGAGAACCTAAGAAAAGCTATGGACACTTCAACTTTAAAAAATGGCAAATAATGTATTTCATGTATAATTAGAGGTGTTCACAAGAAGTATATAACTAAAATCCTTATAATTTCAAAGACCCCATGCTAAGAATCTGAGAAGAATGTATCACCTCTCCTCATTGATAATGCATTTTCCATTCAAGAGAAGAATAATTTCTAAATTACTGAACTGAGACAATCTTGGAAGAGATGAAGAAAGACTAAGTCTTTAGATTCTCTAGTGGGTCTACCCAAGAAAAAAGTCACCTGCTTTTCAATCATCTTGTGAAAAGAAACAAAAGGTAACTGGAGATGAGCTCAACTCATACATTGAGGGTATTTGTTCATACCCTGCTTCCAGCCTTGGTTCTTGAAATAGGTATCTATTTAGTGGATTGCTTCCTGTTCAGTATCAATTTCCCCTTTATCTTCTGATCATAACATCCTGCCTTTCCCTTTGAGGATTCAGTCTTCTTTAACTCAATTCATGTGATTCAAGTATGGCTGAAATCCATCTCAGCTCCAGAGTCTGGCACATAATGAAAACCTGGCTTGTCAGTGTATTCTCTCTTTTGTCTGTAGAGTGACTGGCTCAGGGAAGGATCTGTGTGCCAATTTGGGGACTTATGTTCATTTCTCAGGGCAAAGAGACCTTCTCAGGGCTGGCCAGGCTGTTAGGAGTTAGGCATAGAGCTACCGGTATCTTTCTGCTACTATGGGAGAGGCACATCTAGTGATGATGGAGAATAAAAAGGTCTGGTGGATAGAGGCCTAGCTCTGAGGCTGTCATATCTAGGTATGTAGCACAACTTCTGTTNAGGTCTGGTGGATAGAGGCCTAGCTCTGAGGCTGTCATATCTAGGTATGTAGCACAACTTCTGTTTTCATTTTCAAAACTACTCTCCACCTCTCTCCACTGCTCCCCACCCCAGTGTCTGACCTGTAGGTACACGTTTGAGTGCCTTCGGGCTTCCAGAGGTGTGGGGCCCTGGGGAACGCTAGCAGAGTAAGGTGAGGTACTTTGGCTTTCTCTGCAGAACTGTCTGAGGCTGGTTTGCCAAGATTCCTGCCAGGTTCTAGTAACTTCTGCCTCCTCTCATGTCATTGGGCCTAGTAATAGCTGTGCTCCTACAAAACCTGGGTTAACGTGCCAGCTCATTTCATTCACTATTCCCACGATATCATAATATTTTTTGTGCAGATAAAACATTCTTGTTATTCTAATACCAGTGTGCCTGCTATTGTATTGAGACATCCAGTGATACACTAGCCTTGCCTGCAATCAACCCAAACCCTCGACATTTCACATGCATGAGCAGGAACATTCCAATTTGTACTTAATAACATTTTGAGAAGTGTTTCTATCACTTGCAACTGGAAAGAGCCTTGACTAATACAATCTCTCCTAACCTCCCTGGGCCACCTTGTGCATTCTACTTGGAAAATAATTGCTTTAGAAACATGGACAGACACATTGTGAGAGTTAAAACTCACACAGCTTGGAATGTAATTCTCAAACCAATCCATCATGTCACTCATGATCTATTAATCCTCGTCCTATAGAATTAAAGCAACTCTACTGACCATGTTAAAAAATATGACCCCTGCTGCCTGTAGAATTTTAACCAAATTCTTATTCACACAAGTTTCTAACACATACAAGTAAAAGTATGAATCAGACCAAAACATACTTCTTCCAATTAGAAGGTGTGAAAAGAGCAAAGAGAAATGGCCTTTTCTATTTACTCAACTCAGCAGCTGAGCAGTTCATTAGCAAATCCTTGAATGCATGTATGTCATAAGCTCCAGGAAAGTGAAAGCTGTTTTATAAAGCAATCTTAGAAAGGCAACCTTTAAGTCAAAAGTACTATTCCCTGGTGAGGTTTATTAATTGAATCATTTGTTTACAAAAGGTGAACGTGGCTCTAAGTGACAGTACTGTTTGCACAGTGGCACCAATATTGGGAAGCTTATGTGTAATGCATTAGTAATGTAGAAAAAGATGCCTCCTGAGTCAGGGGTATTTGTTTAACACTTTGAAATCCTTTAATTTTAGCAACTCCCTGAGCATGAATTGAGTTAGCTTATTAAGGTTAAAAATAGTCTTTAAAATATTGCTAATGAGTACCATGAGGTACATACTATCATTTCCATCCTTGCCAGAAACCTCTTTATGTGAATTCTATGCTGGTTATTGGATAGTGGAAAAGGTAAAAGAACAACAACAACAAAAAAGATGAGGGAGCAAAGTGTTTGGATCTCTAATTTTACTTCTGTATTCTTCAACCAAGTTTAAATTCTACTAAAAACGATTTCTAGAATGAAGACTTATTTAATAATCTTTGTCAGTAAATATTTTCACTTAGTTGAACCATAATTTTTTGCAGAGAATGTGGTAGGAGGAATACATATACTGATTAAAGTTACACCTTTAAAAAAAAATTCATTTCACCTCATAGTAATTCATGGTATACTTTAATTTTCTTCTGGAGTGAGTCAGTTCTGAAGTATTCCACTTTAGAAGTATTCAGAAGTTTATGTATTTTGATTAGTATCAAGTGACTATGATCATGTGAAGTTTTTTCTGTATTTATAGAGATGGCTAGCAGCCCACCAAAAGACTTTTTTTTTCCCTTCTGTAGTATACAAGTGGAGCTGGGAAGTGACGTCTTGGCCAGGGAATGCCTATGCCAAACCTTGCAGCTCGATGTGACCATGTGATTAATTCACAGTGGAAGAGATGTGGGCTCTTTTGCACTAAGGCTTTAGAAGCAGGCATGTCTCCTTTTTGCTCCGTTTATCTTTAGAAAACCAGATACAGATGATAACAATGTCCAGAGCCTCAAAAAGAAAGGAATCTGGGTCACTCCCTGAATTGTCAAGTGGAGGAGAACCGCCCAACAGTTACATCCACCGTGGACTGTTACATGAGTAAGAAATAAGATTTTTATTACATTTGAGCCATATACATTTGACCTCTATATTTTTAAACTCACTTAAACCTGTTTTAAAAGGTATATGATACAATATATCTTTTAAAACAGGTAACCCTGGGCTATCTGAATCTGACCCCACTGGGTAGATTAAACTCCAACATAATAGA